GGTGGAGAGGGAGGTGGGAGGGGGGATCGGGATGGGGAATATATGTAAATCCTTGGCTAATTCATGTCAATGTATGACAAAAACCACTACAATATTGTAAAGTAATTAGCCTCCAACTAAAAAAAATAAATGAAAAAAAAAAAGACTGAAAAAAAAAAAAAGAAACCTGGGTTGTGGGGAACCAGAAATCTGGCCTTTCAGGTGCCTCTGTTACAGCTACGTTGAGAACGACTACAGTAGAGCAATTCCTCTCAAACTTTGTGTTTACAGGGGTCTTGTTAAGGTACAGGCTCTGAATGAGAACCTACATTCTCCCGAGTGCCAGGTGATGCCCATGCTTCCGTCCAGGGGCCACACTGTGAATGAAAGGACCAAAGGGGTGGCCCCAGCCCAGCCACAGGCCAGAATTTTGCTCTTTGAGGATGCGGGCCTGATGGGTCAGACCTTTGTGGTTTTTCAGGACAAGCTGAAAATCGTGACTTCTGTGCTACCGTTGCCAGTTTTGAAAACACTGTACAATCCATTGGGGTGGTTACCTCTGCTGTCCAACCCATCAACTCAAAAGATGAGGAAACTGAGGCCCAGAAAAGGGGAGAGACTTGGCCACAGTGACCCAGCACGTTACTGGTCAAGGCCAGAGTGGGTCCCAGTGTCCCAACTCACAGCCAAGGGCCCAGAACAACGTCCAGCAGGACCAAGACAGGAGCTGGGAGCTCTTGTAAGCTGTGCCCAGTTCTGAACAAAATCCAGCTTACCTCTTCCTGCCTCTCCCAGATGGTTTCTCCTGGGGTCACAGCCCTCCCACCCAGGAGGAGCACCCAACTCCTCAGAGGGCCAAATGGCTTCTGAGAAAACAACAGGAGGGAGACAGGGCCCTGTGGCTCTTCCCACAGAGGCCAGGGTGTACTGGACACAGGAAGGGACGAGGTTCCTGCAGGGCCTCTCAGGGCAGCCTTCCTGGGCGCCTGCTAGAGAAGGTGAGGCCGCCTACCTGACAGCCGTGAGACAGGATGACCACCACGCAGCAGTCCAGAGCATCGTGGTCCCGCCGTGCCAGCTCCATCAAAGCCTGGACCATTTGCTACAAGAGAGGGCCGTGGGTGAGCCCGACCACTGACGGATCAGGTCCTCATCTGGGCCAGTCCCCTGCTCCCGGGGCCAGTAGTGAAGTTAAAGGACAGTCACAGTGATCACAAGAGAAGATTGGGGAAGAGATGCTGGGCTAGGCACTCTTTATTTACTTCTACAATGCCCCTGGTGGCTCAGATGGTAAAAAATCTCCCTGCAATACAGGAGACCTGGATTCGATCCCTGGGTTGGGAAGACCCTGGAGGAGAAAATGGCAAGGCACTCCAGTATTCTTACCTGGAGAATTCCATGGGCAGAGGAGCCTGGTGGGCTACAGTCCATGGGGTTGCAAAGAGTCAGACATGACTGAGTGACTAACACTTACCTAATGCAACCCTAGGAGGTGAGCATGGGTCTCGATTTATAGACAGAGAAGCTCAGGCTCGGGAGTCACAGAGGTAGTGGGGGAGTCAGTCCTCAACCCGGGTCTCTGAATCTGGAGCTCTCACCGGTAACCACTGAGTGACACTGCCTCTTGTGGTCCTACAGACTGAAGGGCTCATCTTGGGGAGTCGCTGGCTTTCAGGGGCCCTCTTTAGGACACTACCCCATGAGCCCCCATTTCTCTCCATGCATAGGGCCCGTACCTTGGCAGTCAGGTCACATTTCACCTCCACTGCAAACTGCAGCAGGTGGAAGCGTCGCTGCATCCTCTCACAGTCTATGCTGGAGCCTGTGCGGGTCCTGAGCCCCGACTCGTGGCAGAAGTTCACGTTGTTGATGATCAGGCAGTAGCCACAGGGGTCTGCGTTCAGGACGTAGGCCTGCCCAAGCAGAAGGACCAGCGTAAACCAGGGTCTCGCTGCACTCCTCGGGAGAAAAGGCGACACCCTGGGTCTCAACCATGGGGAGGACAGTCTGGAGAGATGGGATAGAGCCTGCAGTCTGCCTCCCTCTGAAGCAGGTGTCTGGTATCCACACCACACACACGTAGCTGTGTGACAAATGATCAGCTAAACCTGGGACAGAAGATTAGCTCCCCTCAGAGTACTCAGGATGGAACCACTAGCTGAGAAATCCAGCCCCCCTAGACACTGATCCCCCAAAGGACCAACAAGTCGCCCAGACCTGGGGCGTACTGAGAATCACATGATCAGCTCTGCCAGCAGACTCCTGCCCAAGTCACCCTCGGAGAGTCTGAGGCCACTTCCTCTCGAGGTTCAATGTTTCTCTAGTACTTCTCTCTCACAGCAGCCTGGGGTTTTTTGCTGTTGTTGTTTATGGCACTCTACAATGTTTACATTTATATACTTCTTTGTGTGACGAGTCTCCGCTAGGCTGATGGCTCCATGAGTGGAAACTTGAGTGGTTGGTTCCCAGGTGTCCTAGTGCGAAGTCCAGGCTGACCCAGGGGAGTCACAAAATAAATACTATGACTGAGACAGGCAGTGACTTGGTCCAGGGTGGTGCCACAGCCGATTCTCAACTGACCCCTCCTTAGATCTAACCCGACTTCACAGATGAGGAAAGAGCAGGGTTAGATAATCTGCTTCAGGAAGAGCTGTACCAGGCTCAGGGCACTGTAGGGGCCCCAGGACTGGGACTCTCTCCAGCTGGGCTGAGCTCCGGGGGCTCCTGACACAGCTCAGGAAGGACCCGGGAAGTGGAGCTCAGAAGAGCCAAAAGCCAACACAACCGGCCCCAAATGATATGAAGACTCACCAGATCGGCATTTCCCTTGGCTCTGTCCTGAGTACCTGGAGAGAAAAAGAGGGAAAACGTGAATGTCAGGGTCCAACAGGGAAGGAACAAGGGACCCTGTGAGGACACCTCCCACAGAAACACAGAAGAACAGGAGCTCAGGAACCCCTGGGGACTGCTGGTGAAGTCAAGTGGCAAAGCCACCTTCGGGAACTATTTAGAAGTTTCCAGGGGTTTCCCTGGTGGTAGAGTGGATAAGAATCCACCTGCCAATGCAGGGGACACAGGTTTGATCCCTGGGATGCACCACAATGACTGAAGACCGAGCAACTAGAGCCCACGCTCCGCAACAAGAGAAGCCACTGCAATGAGAAGCCCGTGCACCACAACGAAGAGTAGCCCCTGCTACCTCAACTAGAGAAAGCCCATGCGCAGCAGTGAAGACCCAGCACGGCCAAAAATAGATAAATAGTTTTTTTAAACAGACATTTAAAAAAAAAAAAGAAGTTTCCAATAAGGTTGAACACACACCTACTCTCTGACCAGCAACTCTACTCCCAGGTACATAGTCAAGAGAAATGAGCACAGTGGCACCAAACAACTTGGCCATGAATGATCATCAAAGCCTTGTTCATACTCCTCGAACTGGAAACAACCCAAACATCCATCAGCAAGTGGATGGGTCAGCCAACTGTGACACAACCACACAGAGGGACACAACAGAGCTTAAAAAAGAAGGAGGTACATGCAACACCATGGATAACTGCAAAAACACCATTCTGGGTTTTTAAAAAGCCAGCAGAGTACATATGGTGTGATTCCATTTATGTGAAATTCTAGAACAGAGAGACATAGGGAAGCTCCAGATCTGTTCCCTCTCTGTGGAATCCATGGAGCCCAGCACACGGTAAAGTGAAAGTGAAAATGGAAGTCGCTCAGTCGTGTCCAACTCTTTGCAGCCCCATGGTCTATACAGTCCATGGAATTCCAGCATACACCAAATAGCTGAAGAATGAATAAATGAGTAAAGGTGTGATTTTTCTTTCAGTATCAAAAGAGTTTTCATTTCAATTAGCAAGAAGTCAACTGACCACCAGCCTACAAGGTTATAGGACCTTTTCTTTTTTAAATAAACACACATTGACCATCACCTGGTCATGCCACAGACTATACTCATGGTCCAACCATGATGCCATTCATCGCTCAGAGCGGGCCTGGACCTTGTTAGGAGATATTCTTTTGCCAGTTTAAAAGTCATGTCATAAATGCATTTACATTCCATCTTTTAAATTAGAAATGGTTTTGCCTAGCCTGAAGACTCCCATTAGACCACAGACTTAATTCTTAAACTGCTCATTTCCAAAATTCCACTGCACTCCCAAAAATACCATTATCTACTACTGAAAATATCATTTTCAGTATTAGAAAATGCCAATACTACTGAATACTACAAACGTCGATACTACAAATACCAATACTACTGAATATACCATTATCTACTACATATCCAGATGAGAGAATTGGACCATAAAGCAGGCTGAGCACTGAAGAACTGATGCTTTCAAACTGTGGTGCTGGAGAAGACTCTTGAGAGTCCCTTGGACTGCAAGGAGATCAAACCAGTCAATCTTAAAGGAAATAAACTCTGAATATTCATTGGAAGAACTGATGCTGAAGCTGAAGCTCCAATACTCTGGCCACCTGATGCAAAGAACCAACTCACTGGAAAAGACCCTGACACTGGGAAAGATTGAGGGCAAAAGGAGAGGAGGCAGAAGAGGATGAAATTATTAGATACCGACTCAATGGACATGAACCTGAGCAAACTTAGGGAGATAGTGAAGGACAGGGGAGCCTGGTGTGCTGCAGTCCATGGGGTCACAAAGAGTGGGACATGACTTAGCGACTGAACAACAGCAGCACTGAAGAATGTGTTTATTTCCTGACTGACAGTAATGATCCACAAAGTGAGTAACATCATCAAAATGACGGAATAAGAGTTTTCTACCACCTTCATTCTCCCAAAGAACACTAATTTTTGACAATCATCCACAGACAAGAATGCCTTTGTGGAAGTCCAAGAGTCTTGCAGAGAAGTTGCAGTATACTGTTGGTGCGAAATTCCAATTACATAGGACACGTTGAAGAATAAAGACTAGAGGAGATTGCTCCTTCTTCAAATTCAAAGACAGCAACACAAGACTGAGGAATATGAAAAATTAAGGAAACAAGATACCACCAAAAACACACAATGGAAATCTATGATTTGCCCAATAAAGAATTCAAAATTGTTGTTTTAAGGAAGCTAAGTGAGCTAGAAGATAACAGAGAAAGACAATATTAAAAAATAAAAGAAAACAAAGAAAGACAATATATATACCCAGAAGTGGAACTGCTGGATCATACAGTATTACTATTTTTTTTTCTTCAAGTATCAGGGCTTCCCAGGTGGCTCAGATGGTAAAGAATCCACCTGCAATGAGGAGACCTGGGTTTAGTCCCTGGGTTGGGAAGATCCCTAAAGAAGAGAATAGCTACCCACTCTGGTATTCTGACCTAGAAAATTGCACGGACTGTATGGTCCATGGGGTCACAAAGAGTTGGACACAACTGAGCGACTTTCACTTTCACTTGCATACCTGAAAGCTGCTGAGCAAGTAAATCTTAAATGTTCTCACCACATATACCAAAAAAAAAAAAGTGTTAATTATGTGAGTTGATGGATGTGCTAACTAGCTTTAGTGTGGTCATTGTTCCATAATACATCCAAGTAGTGAATTATCACCTTAAACTTACACAATGTGTTATACATAAATTATAACTCAATAAATATGGAAAAAATTTTTTTTTAATTTTTACCTAAAAAAAAAAATCTACAAAGCAAAATGGTTGCTCTTGAGAGGTCCATAGGCCACAGCAACATGTAGAGGGAGTAAACTGACAAAGGTACCAAAAGAAAGAGGTAGGGAAGGAGTTCCCTAGTGGTCCAGTGGTTGACATGAGTTCATTCCAGAAAGATCCCACATGCCTTGGGGCAACTAAGCCCATGTGCCAAAACTACTGAACCTCGAACCCTAGGGCCCATGCTCCGCAACAAGAAAAGTCACAGCAATAAGAAGAGTAGGCCTCGCTCACTCTAGAGAAAGCCCAAGTGCAGCAAGACCCAGCAAAGCCAAATAAATAATTTTTTAAAAAAAGAAAGAAAAGAGGTAAGGAAGGCTCCAGGCAGCAGTCACTGCACTAACAAAGGCAGGGAGGGGTTCTAGACCCACACGGAGGATAAAGTAGATATAACATGCACGAAACCCATTTCTCCCAAAATGACAGCTTCCAAGGGGACAAGAAGCACATGTGGGCAAGTGTGTGTGCAAAAGAATCAGTCATAGCCTGAGCATCACTGAGCACATGCCCATGGCTCCAGCAGAGAGAAAAGGCGGGAAACACACCCCCTCTGCTGCCTAAGGGAAGGAAGGGTAGATGTCCTAGTGCTGGGCCTAGGCAACTCAAATCACACAAGGAGGACTTCCCTGCTCATCCAGTGGCTGAGACTCCAAGCTGCCAATGCAAGGGGCCCAGGTTTGATCCCTGGTTGGGGAACTTGATCCCACATGACGCAACTAAAGATCTCACATGCCACACTCGTAAAGTTAACCATTACTACTACTATTATTATTAGCATCCATACCATGCAATGGTCAACTGGGCAACCATGAAATAGAAAGTGCTAGGTCTCCACATGCTGCCATGGAAACAAAGCCCTAAGAAAAAACTACATGCTCATCAACAAGAGAATGGTTAAATAAACTGTGGATGATTCACAATAAAAACTACCTCACAATGAAACAGAATTAACTTCTGATACACACAACAGCATGAGTGAATTTCACAAATATAATGATGGCAAGAGAAGCCAGATTCAAACAGTATATAGGATTTCATTTACATTGAAGTTCAAGTTCAAAAGGGATCTATGGCAATAGAGATCAAAATAATGATTCCTTTGGAAGGGGGAAGAGTGGGAATAGACTGGAAAGAAGTACAAGAGAGTCTTAAAGGACACCAGAATGCTCTATACAGTAATAATCTGGAGTGTGGTTATCTGTGTGTTACTGCTTAGTCGCTAAGTCATGTCCAGCTTTTTGCAGTCTCATGGACTGCAACCTGCCAGGCTTCTCCGTCCCTGGGATCTCCCAGGCAAGAACACTGGAGTGGGTTGCCATTTCCTTCTCCGGGGATCTTCCCCACCCAGGGATCAAATCCACGTCTCCTGCAGTAGCAGGTGGATTTTCTACCGCTGAGCCACCAGGGAAGCCCAATTGGTAAAAATCATCCAGCTGCGGTCTTTGGATTTATGTATTTTACTGGATGTAGCTTTGTGACCATAGGCAATTATTTCACCTCCCTGAGTCCTGGGTTCCTCATTGACAAGAATGGGTCTAATGATGCCCTGCCTTGCAGGGTTGTTATGAGGAGAGGAGGTAAGGGTATGTACCGTGCCTACTCGGGACAGACTCTAATAGATGCCTCCTTCCTGCCCCCAAGCCTGGGCTAGTCCACTTGACTCACCTGGACCCAAAGGCAAATCACAAACAATAGATCGATCTGGAAACACTGATCAAAACCCATGACATCCAAACCAGACTTCAACACATGCTTTTTAGAGGAGGGGCACTCCTGAACCCCTACTAGAATATTCCACCCATCCCCTATGAGTACTCAGAAAGACAACACCAAAATTAAATTTTGAAGTTCACACTACCCGGCTGTATCACTGGTCACTTGTCAATGACCGCTTGGTACACCCACCCACCACCCCTTCTTGGTACTCACAGACATCAGTGAATCCTCCAGAACCAATGTCCACTGGCCTGGGTACCTCTGGTCTGAGAACCTCAGGCCTGAGTTTGGCTGGCCAGAGCTCCTCTGGTCCCAGCACCACTGGAGCGAGTTTTCCTTGGCTCAGCTTTGATGGGTCCTGTTTCACCACTCTCAGCTTCTCTGGTTTGAGGCCCTCTGGTCCAAGCACCACCGGTTTGAGATCCAGGGGTCTGATGGCCTCTACATCCTGTTTTGCTGCTTGTCTATTGGTCTTCAATAATGAAGCCAGAGTGTCCTGGCCTGTGTCCTCCAAGCAGGAGATGAACAAAGGAAGGGCCTGACTCCCTCGAGTCTCTAGATCTATGATCAGCTGCCTGGCCTGATCACGCCGAGATCCTGAGCCCGCCCTCTGTTTGGAAAGAAAAACATGTCACTATTATCCACACACTTTGCTGTGACTCTCACCCTAACCCCCCAATTCCCATCTACCTAAGTCTAAACAATCAGGCACATGGGCAAAAATTGAAGTTACTGTGAGCATAGGCCACCTGCCAGTCTTCATTTATCTATTCAATCTCTATGTCGGGGATGTCTACTCTGTGCCCAGAAAGGGCCAAGTGCTGAAAATGCAGGAGAGAACAGTCTGTCTTCATGGAGTCACTTCTAGTGGAGCATGCAAACAGGAGTTTCCCTGGTTGTCCAGTGGTTAGGAGTCTGCCTGCCAATGCAGGGGACACAGGTTCAATCCCTGGTCCAGGAACTAAGATCCCACATGCCATGGGGCAACTGAGCCCGTATGCCAGTCACTGGAGCCCACGTTCCCTAGAGCCTGTGCTCCACCACAAGAGAAGCCACTGTAATGAGAAGCCCATGCACCGCAACTGGAGAGTAGCCCCCACTCGCCACAACTAGAAAAAGTCCATGCATAGAAACAAGAAGCCCGTGAACTGCAGTGAGAGGTCTCAGCCCATGAGACCCAGTGCAGCCAAAAAAAAATTGATAAATAATGGGAGGAAAAAAAAAAAAAAGACAATGACACAGCAAAGACAGAAATGCCAGAAGGAAAATCACATGGGGCTGGAAGGGTACAGGTGCACTCAACCCAGACTTGAGACATCAGGGAAGCCTCCAGGAGGGACTAGCTTGCCTGAGCCCCCAGAACACTAAGAAAGGAATAGTGAATTCAGAGAAATGGGAGATGAAGTCAGGTGGGAGTGAGATCTCTGCACAGTCATGTCAAGAAAGCTGTGAGAGCTACGTAAGAGCTTTAAGAAGTGACAGTGTCAGATCTGCCTTTTAAAAAACTCATCCTGGGGGCAAAGTGGACAATGGCAGGGAGTGGCCACAGCCAAGTTATGTGGTGGCAAAGACTTGCAGCTAGAATGGAGAAAAGTCAGAGGACAGATAAAAGAAATAAGGAGGGGAAATCCACAAGACTTGGGCATTGACTGGGTGGACTGTGGAGTTGCAGGAGTGGTTAAGGTTGACAATGTCAGGATGATGAGACCAGAGAAGGAGACAGGGAGCAGGAGGAAGATGCCAGTTATCTGCTGGTTCTCCTTTGAGGCCCAACTTTGGGCAAGTTCCACAGGGATAAGACACCACCCTGTTCGCAAGTATCCTACAGAAGTGTGATCGAAGAGAATTGTTCATGACAATAGAAATCTTTATCTGAGCTGTCCAAAATGGCAGCCATTAGCCACATGTAGCTACTGAGCACTTGGGTCATATGTCTAAGGAACTGCCTTTTCTGGGTTCAATTTTAATTACTTCATATTGACATTTAAATAGCCACATGTGACTAATGGACACTACACTGAATAGCACGTGCTTCAGTCAAGTCCAGCTCTTTGCAACCCTATGGACTGTAGCCTGCCATGAGATTTTTCAGGCAAGAATACTGGAGTGGGTTGCCATTTCCTTCTCCAGGGGGTCTTCTTGACCCAGGGATTGAACCTGTGTCTCTTATGTCTCCTGCACTGGCAGGTCATTTCTTTATGACTAGCACCATGTGGGAAGCTCCTTGAATAGCACATATTTGTACTATCACTGAGATGATTAATTTTCATTAGCAAAAGTTAGCTACATGCCTACTTCTCTACAAGTAAGTCATGGGGCTTTGATTTCTCTCAATGTTTACAAACACTCACAGACATGTGTTAAATGCACCATTTCACTTAGTCCTCCTCAACAACCTTGTTTTAAAGAGGTTAAATTACAATTACCCCCACCTTAAGGATGAAGGAAACTGAGTCTAAGAAAGTTGCTGCAACTTGCTAATATGTATTATGTCACAAAGCCAGGATGACAGCCCAGATCCATGTGATTCTGCCATACTAGGAGTGGTAAAACAGTGGCCCATTGTTCATAACACATTCTTTAAAAATTCTGAATTTTTTGCTAACATTTATTTTTAATTTTATATTGGAGTATACTTGATAATAATGTCTTAGTTTCAGGTATACAACAAAGTGATTCAGTTATACAAGTATCTATTCTTTTTCATATAACAGACCACCTTACCTGCCTCCTGAGAAACCTGTATGCAATAGTTAGAACCAGACATAGAACAACGGAACTGGTTCAAAATTGGGAAAGGAGTACATCAAGGCTTATATGGTCACCCTGTTTATTTAACTTCTATGCAGAGTACATCATGTGAAACGCCGGGCTGGATGAAGCACAAGCTGGAATCAAGAGTGCCAGGAGAAATTTCAACAACCTCAAATATGTAGATGATACCACTCTAACGGCAGAAAGTGAAGAGGACTAAAGAGCCTCTTGATGAAGGTGAAAGAGGAGAGTGAAAAAGCTTGCTTAAAATTCAACATTCAAAAAACTAAGATCATTGCATCCAGTCCCATCACTTCATGGCAAATAGATGGGGGAAAAATAGAAACAGTGGCAGATTTTATTTTCTTGGACTCCAAAATCACTATGGACAGTGACTGCAGCCATGAAATTAAAAGATGCTTGCTCCTTGGGGGTAAAAAAAACAAACTATGTCAAACCTAGACAGCATATTAAAAAGCAGAGGTCTGTACAGTCAAAGCTATGGTTTTTCCAGTAGTCATGTACGGATGTGAGAGTTGGACCACAAAAAAGGCTGAGTGCCGAAGAATTGATGCTTTCAAACTGTGTTGCTGGAGAAGACTCTTGAGAATCCCTTGGACTGCAAGGAGATCCAACCAGTCAATCCTAAAGGAAATCAACCCTGAATATTCATTGGAAGGACTGATGCTGAAGCTGAAACTCCAATACTGTGACCACCTGATGCAAAGAGCCAGCTCACTGGAAAAGATCCTGATGCTGGGAAAGATTGAAGGCAGGAGAAGGGAGTGATAGAGCATGAGATGGTTGGATGGCATCACTGACTCAATGGACATGAGTTTGAGCAAACTCCGGGAGATAGCGAAGGACAGGGAAGCCTGCGGTGCTGTAGTCCATGGGGTCACAAAGAGTCAGACACAACTTAGCAACTGAACAACAACAATTCTTTTTCAAACAGGTTTTCCCTTTGGGTTATAACAGATTATTGAGCAGAGTTCCCTGTGCTATTTTTGCTAACATGTAAAACCAGGAAACAGGAATTCCCTGGTGGTCCAGTGGTTAAGATTCCTCACTTTCACTGAAAGGGCCTGGGTTCAACCCCTGGTGAGGGAACTAAGATCCTGCAAGCCTCAGGGCGTGGCCAAAAAAAACAAAATAATTTCCCACTTGAAATGGCAACCCACTCCAGTATTCTTGCCTGGAGAATCTCATGGACAGAGGAGCCTGGGCTATAGTCCATGGGATTGCAAAGGGACAGACATGACTGAGCAACTAACACTTTCACTTTTCTCGATATAAAAGATCTGGCAACACTGGGCCAGCATTCTTGTATGATCATACTCAGCTGGAGTCGGAGGGTAGGGCAGAGGCTGCCCATTCTGGTGCCCACCTATTATGCCTCCAAGGACATTCAAGTTTATCACTCCTGTGAATGTTCCTGGTAGCAAGCATATGATCTCAAATTATTTCCACTCCTTAGTACACAGCAGATGCTCATAAGACTTCTCTTAATATTATACACTGGTGACTTCCCATATGATATTTGTCCTATTAAAGACTTCCTCAATGGTCAGGCCAAGTTCCTGGATGATGCAGAAACTGGCCTGCAAGCAGCCTACAGGGCACTATGCAAGGGCCTCTAGGAAGCCACACATTCCCACTGTATCTCCTGGTAAGAAATACATCCTGCTCGCTCCTGACCTCACAGGCCTGTGATGAGGGTCAAATAAGACAAAGATATGACAGTGCTTTTAAAGAGAACCTCAGGGACTTTCCTGGTGGTCCAGTGGTTGGGGATCCACCTGTCAGTGCTGGGGACATGCGTTTGATTCCTGGTCCGGGAGGATCCCACATGCCGCAAGGCAACTGGACCCACGCTCTATAACTACGGAGCCAGCGGTCTAGAGCTCTTGAGCTACAACAAGAGAAGCCACTGAAATGAGAAGCCCACCCACTGTGACTAGAGAGTAGGCTCACTTGCCACAATTAGAGAGAGCCTGTGCATAGTAACAAAGACCCAGCGCAGCCAAAAGTAAATGCTTTTGAAGAGAACCTCAAATGTTTGATTTTATTACTCTCTTCACTATCTGCAGTAGGCCCCTCATCTCCAAACTCCTTAAAAGACACATAACACATGAGGGGCTGGCCAAGGAGGACAGGGCAAAGACAGATACCATCTGATGTGTCCTCATTCTGTGCCTGAAGCTTTTCTGTTTCACAACCCTTATCTCTTTTAGCCCTCAGGGCAGTATGATGTTTTCCCATTTCACAGCAGGGGAAACTGAGGCTCAAAGAGGATACAGTGCCAGGCAGTCAGACCTACCTAGTGGGTGCTCTGAACCTCCACCCTTGTGCATGCTCAGAAGCTCAGTCATGTCTAACTCTTTGAGAACCCCATGGACTGTAGCCCACCTGGCTCCTCTGTCCATGTGATTTCCCAGGCAAGAATACTGGGGTGGGTTGCCATTTCCTTCTCTAGGGGCTCTTCCCCACCAAGGGATCAAATCCATGTCTCCTGCATTGCAGGTGGATTCTTTACCACTGATCGACCTGAGAAGCCGCAACCTCCACCCTAGGGGAGGAAAAAACAGGTATGCCTCCAGACAGGCATCCAGCACCGCAGCAGCTCCCGGGTGTACTCTGCTCGTGCAAGGCATTACACGCCTTTAGCAAACCCTCAGATCGCTTTAGCAAACCCTCAGAAAGGTGTTTGGGGGTTGTTTGGTTCCTCTGGGAAATTTAGCAGGCTCGACGCCCTGGGGGAAAACGGGGTTCCCTCACGATGGTTCCCCAAAGGGAAGGGGTACTGTGTGGCACAGACGGGTAGGACGTGAGGCGGGGAGGCGAGGGCGCGAGCCGGGCCCTTAAGTCACGGTGTGGCTTCAGCAACCCTCTCCGCGCGGCCTCGCAGCCCCCAACTGTGACCTGAAGTCTGCGCTGCGCGGGAAGCTGGGGACCGTACCTGAATGTCCTCGATCATGTCGGGAGTGAAGAGTTCGCGGTTCAGCAGAGCGTCCCAAAGCGAGGCAACCTGCAGCTCACCGACCAGCTGTACCCGGCACCGCCGCAGGAGCTGCCGGTCAGCCTCGTCCATGGCGGACAGACAGCAGGGACCCCTGTCGCCTCTGTCCGCTTCCGGGCTTCGGACGCCGCGCCCCGCCCTCTCCCCAGGACCTGCCCCCGGACCTGCCCCCGCGTTGCGCCCCGCCCCCATTCGCTCCCGCCCCCCGCGTCCAACCGCCCCCAAGACCCACCCTCGCGTCACTGTACGGCTCCCAAGCCCCGCCACCCCGCTATTCACCCAGGCTATTCAGCTTCGTCCCCGGCGCCCCACCACACCTCTAGAGCCCGAATCTCCCAGGACACACCCCCGCACAGTTGTCAGGGGCTCCTAGCCAGAATTCTCTAGCACTTCGCTTTCTGGTGGCGCAGTGGTAAAGAAACCGCCTGCCAATGCAGAAGACGCAGGTTCCATTCCTAGATTGGGAAGATTCCCTGAAGAAGAAAACAGCAACACACTCCAGCATTCTTGCCTGAGAAATTCCATGGATAGAGGAGTCTGGTGGGCTACAGCCCATGGGTCGCAAAGAGATGAAGAGGCACGCAACCCCATTTAAACGCGCGGGGGGGGGGGGGGGGGGGGGGGGCGGCGGTCATATTTCTACTAAGAGAGAATGTCGTGCCTGGAGCCATGGTCTGTCCCGCCCAGTTCAACCCGCTCCAGGGCATCTTATCCCTCTAGCTCTGTACTCTGACCCCAGTGAAACAGTATCCTTTAGCATGCCGGGATTTCCGTGTTTATTGTGTTTACTGTTCCAAACTTGTCCAATCCAACCAAGCCCACCGTACAGTCTTCCATTCCCCTCTTCCCTCCCACCCTAGCACCTCCCACAAGGAAAAAAACGAGCAGAAATCTTGCCCTCTGAATTACCAGTTTGTATGGCTCATTTCCTCATTTTAAAAATTGCTCATACGTCAACTATATTTCAATGTTTAAAAAAAAAACCTTCTCACAGACAACATAAAAATATGAAAAAAATCGGTCCTGTTTGTTGAGCAATTGCTAATTCCCAGCATTGTGCAAGCCATTTTACATTGTATTATCTAATTTCTCCCTGACTACAATCCTACAGGGAGATGAGATTCTTTTCCCCTATTTTTCAGACATGGACGCTGGGGCTCTAGGAAGTGAAGCCACCATTCAAGATCACAAAGGTAGAGTGGTAGAGGCGGGTAGGATTTAAACCCCAACCCAATTCAAAGTCCACTTGCGACTGGGAATCTACTTTAGCATATATTCTCTTGAGCAGCTAAACTTCAGCCCCATTCACTCATTTATTTCACGAATATTTACTGAGATCTTATCTGTGCCAAGGTCTGTAGAGCCACCAAGAATATAGAAGTGAACAAAAGAGACTTTATAAGTCCTGCTTTTAGGTGCCTATATTCCAGTAGGAGGAGACAGGTGATAAACAGCATAAATAAATGAAAGATATAGTATGTTAGATAGTGATAAATGCAAAGGAAATAAAGTGTAAACAAGCAAGGCAGGAGAATATAAAATCTTTCTTTATATCCCCAAGGAATCTATGTCATTGGCTCACGGAAAGCTTATCACATTTACTTGTGCTTCTCCCCCATCGCCCTCCCCACCCAGCATCACCACACACATATCCTTTTCCCGTGGTTAGGACAGGATCTAGCACATTATCTAGAGTGGAAATCGCCTTTTTGGAAAATAAGATTAAGTGACCTGGATTCTAAGCCTTGGGCAAGTCTCTAACCCTCTCTGGGCCTCAGTCTCCTCCATCAGGATAAGGAGGAGTTAACTAGAAACGATCCCTAAGGTCCCTTCCAACTCTGACGCTCTCAGAGTCTAAGAATAGGGTTAAAGAGACTAGGGAACAGCGATAGCTTCCCCACCCTAGCAACTGCTGCTAGACAAGGGCCATCTCCTGGTAAAGGTGGAAACTCCTCCCTGAATCGGGGAGGTCTTTTGGCATCCCATCATGCATCGCGACTTGGCCTCTCTAGGAGGCACGTTTTGGCCTCCTTGGTCACCACCTTCCCTTTGGATCCCGCCGGAGAGCGCTCTTCGTTCCTATGGCAACCGTGCCAGGTCCACGCGCAGACGGCGGGTGGCAAGGGTCAAAACAGATTCACAGAGTAGAAGACCTCGACTTGGTCTGTCCTCGCCTTTGGTGCGCCGGGCCTTTAAGTATCACGTGACTAGCCTCCGGCTCGTCCCTTCTCTTTCCCCTCCCCAGGCCCCGGCTAGCGCTGGTGTGGACCGGAGGCTCCCGGCCCGGCGGACTAACTGGAGCACGGACGCCGCAGCCGGTTAGGCCGGTGCCCTTTCCCGGTAACTCCTTCCCGGCGTGACGCGTGGAGCCGCGGACGCGGCGGGACCGGGCAGGCTCAGGGATCTCCAGTCAGTTCTTCCTCGTTCCGGGTCCCCGCTGGGCCCCGGGAGAACCCGGAGCCGATAGGGCCCGACCCAGGGCTCTTGGGGGCGGCGAGGGATGTGGCTGTCTCCTGGAGGGTTGCGACTTTCGGCGGGAGCTCGAGGCGGGGCTCAGACCTAAGCATGTCTCTGGGAGCGTCTGCCTGGTCCAGGGGATACTGCCCGAGGGCGATACCTACCTGTTGGGCAGGTTGTTTCCTGTCCTGAGGCTGGCACGGTCGGGCTGTCAGCAAAAGAACACAGCGCCCCGGCACTTGGGCTCTCTAAGTGGAGGCGACTGACACAGTTGAATAAGGCACTGGTTGCACTGCATGGTAGAAAAAATAATGGTAATAAATACCGCTTATTGGCTGCTGACCCCGTGCTCAGTAAATCCTTTACCCTTTAACTCCCAAGTCGAGCCTTTCAAGGTGGTATTATTTTCACCCATTTTATGGAGGACACTGAGGCTTAGCAAGTTTTAAGTAATTTGTCCAAGGTCATAAAGCGATGGAGGACAGATCCCAATGTTAGTCTGATTCCGGAGTTCATGTGCTTAACTAATAGCTACATCGCCTTCTCAGTTTTTAGTTTTTTTATGTGTATCTTGTACGACAGAATAGGTTATAGATTGCCTTAACAAAGAAGAAACTTCTTTTTGTTTTAGGGTTTTATTCGGTGTGCTTTCAGTCGTAAACAGTGGCCATCAGATTAGTCTTTGGTGAAGACTCGGAGGTAGCATTTAGACTCCTACTTGTCAGAATCCACACTGTTACAGCTCTGCCTCCCTTAAGTAAGAAGTCACATTAGATGCTTGATCCTTAAGATGTTAGTGATTTGTGAGAAACCAAAATGAATATGGGGCTTCCGTGATGGCCCAGATGTTGAAGAATCTGCCTGCAATGCGGGAGACCTGGGTTCCATGCCTTGGTTGGGAAGATCCCCTGGAGAATTCCATGGACTGTATAGTCCATGGGGTCGCAGAATTGGACAGGACTGAGCAACTTTCACACACAAGATAAATATGACCTTTGAAAAATCATTGTGTGATATCACAAAGATCATGATCCTAGAGTGTAAATATGTCCATGCAGTGCAGCACTACCTTGTTAACTTGCCAGGATTTTTTCAAAATCCACAGTGAATTCAATCACTACCCTCAGCGGAGATGGAGCTTTAACATTTGAAGACCATACCTGGTCTACAGTCTTTGCCATTAATGCCTCTCTGATGGCAAACTAAAACTCTTCCCACCACTTTTTCTCATTTGAGGTCTCCACTTATAGTTACAGTATTGCTAGTGATTAAAGACAGTTTCCTGTTTTCTTGTTTGAATGGACATGGTGACAAAGAATAGAATTGGAGCATGTGAAGTTGTAACTCCAGTTTTATTTTAGAGTATTTCACTTTCATCCTTGTACTTATTTAACTCCCAAGAACATCACAACTATCTCATTTTGTAGTTTTGCATATAGTAAATTTTACGATTTCGTGAATTTATTTAGCAAGTGCTCAGTAAGGGATTCTCTAACCACATATTTTAGGTTTAAACTAGTATTGTCAGACAACTTCCCTGTTGGTCCAGTGGTTAAGGCTCTATGCTTCCTTTGCATGGAGTGCAGGTTCCATCCCTGGTTAGGGAGCTAAGATCCTACATACTGTGTGATGTGGCCAAAGAAATTTTTTAAATAAATAAAGATTAAACTGTTACTGTCATAATACATAAAATAGTGTGTTAGAGATGTAGTTGCCTAGATTTCCCTATGTATGTTTTCTTGCATTTGCTTATTTCTTCATCTCATTTGTTTTCAGTCATTTCTAAAGCTTTTCCAATCCAAGGATTTTGGAGAGTTGCTATCTTATTGCTCATCTCTTCATCTGTAATAGTTCTTATTTGTGATATTCAAAACCAGTAGCAAGGGTGTTCATTTAAGAAGATGGGGTCAAACAGCTTGGTACTTTTCCTGCAAAATATCTTTTGTTTTGTTTTTCATCTATACATCTTATACCTTTACATATAAAGTTAGACTGTCCAGATTTCTACCACTGAAACTTACTGCCTCTTCAATCATTTCAGCTCTGGAAAGGAAGAGAAATGGAAGTGAAAAAGTTGAGCATTTCCTGGCAATTCTTGATAGTTCTGGTTCTGATCCTGCAAATTCTGTCTGCGTTGGATTTTGACCCATACAGAGTCCTAGGGGTCAGCCGAACAGCCAGTCAGGCTGATATTAAAAAGGCTTATAAGAAGCTCGCCCGGGAATGGTAGGTGAAACAAAGAAATAGAAGTTTAAATAAGCTAAGCAGTTTTAGCAGGAGAATGAAGCCTAAATTATGGTTAGCTTTTATTTGTCTGTGTTTCTGTGTTCGTTAAATATATAATATATGTTTATCTAACATAATTTATATGGGAGAACGTATATTTGTGTTATTCTATAATTTTTTAGAATCCAAAACCTAGTTACTATGAAAACCCTTTTAGGAATTCTTTGGCTTAAAGAATTGCCTTGATACTATTTGCTTATTTAATGTTAAAGTAAGTAGGAGGGAACTTTAATTAATAAATACATTTTAATATATATAAATTATATGAATATATATGATATATATAATCTGCCCTTCCCATGATACATTATTCATAAAGTAACTCTTTATGAGTATCATTGCTAAAGGGAACACTACCCAGTCC